CCATTCTCGCACTTCTCCTCGTCCCTTCTCCTTCTTTCATCAGTTAGCATTTTCTTCCTTCGATGTTTTAAACTGTAATAACGCCCACAGCAATAAGACTTCCATGCCTGTAAAACGAAATGCTAGTTGGCTGAATTCTTGCTAAAATAACTTCTAAATCGCCATTTACCGACATGACAGCTGAAGCGAAACAGATCCAACACTGACCAGTATATCAGACGATCTCTTCGAATGGTCGGTCTTCGAAAAGGAAGTTTTGTCGTCTGTCAAACGACGTGTTTCTTATTAGTTTCCCAACACGCAGTACGATCTCACTGGCACACCTCACACTCCTGGGTGGGTAGGGAGCCAGCCTGCCGTTGGGAGACAGGCACTCAGGGGGAGGGGAATGCACCCGGAGTGAAGAATACTCACACGCTTTCGTACCGTTTTTTTAACTATCATTCATAAACGTCAAATCTTACAGGATCCTATTTTTGATGTACTGCAATAACCCGCATATGTTTGTCACAGGTTTTCCGAGGTATAACGAGTATGTGTTGGAAGTATTTGCAATTCTTTACCTAGTTGCGTCTTGTGTTTTTATGCCTTATCAGAAAAAAGATCGTTCACCATGCCATGCTGCCTAGAGTTTCCACCTATTAATTATGAAGAAAAATAACATTTGATTAATAAATGATTTTAATAGATTTAACACATAAAAATGTGATGTATAGACACTGGCTATTGTGGGTACAAAATTAGTTCATACTTTGGTCAAAACAGGAAAGACGTAGTAAATGACACCCAGGGAAGTGGTCTTGGCCAGTGGCGACATGAGGGGGTGAAGTGGGGTGGGGGTGGGGGAGCTGCAGACCACACCGAGTGACGCCCTCAGAGGTGGGGGGGGGGGGTAGAATTAATGATTGACTGTGAAAGTATTATGCAGTGTTCCAATGGAAATTTATCTTATCTATAACAAACATCCCTGCACTTCATGACAGGAAAGCAATATTCGTAGATCCATCATCCAGATTATGCTTTATGCAAACTAACATACCTTCATATACAGGTACAACACGATTTCTTATACCAATACTTCGGCATTAATGAGATAATATGAAGTTATGAGATTATATGAAGTAGAGGTCATGGAGGTAAAAATGTGGTACTCAATGATTTTTTTTATAATATGATGAATAGTATTTTTAATACTATTCTCTTCTATACTATTTTAATACTATAATTCATACATCAAAGTTTGCGAAAGTTAACTAGTGTCCATTGAATATATTTGCATTTGTTACAGTAGCATACAAAGGCCGATTCACAATCTAAAACCTGCGTATTCAAGACTGAATAAACAAAGTCATAGTGGAAAATGCTTTAATGTGTAATGCAGAAACAAAATAAGGAAAAGCCAATTTCGTTATATCAATCACATAACGGGTTATTTTTAGCGTGACCTAACCTAAGGTAACCAACAGAAAACTCAAACACTGGGCACTTTGACAGCACAGGAATAAATTACACTTAAACACGTACAGTAAGTCCGACTGTCCCTTTTCCCAAAGCACGTCAACGGTGGGTTGTCCTGCCCGCACCTGGCGTGTCACGGGGCCTAGCATCTAATCCTCGGACTGTGTGAAAGGCTTTACCTTTTTAAGGTATCGCGTTATGTAACTATTTAATATTTAATGTTTTATTTTACATACACTTAATATGCTTATTTCTTACTGACAGTTCTCGGGAGGATAATAATTCTCTCGCACGGAATTCCTCGTCTTCGCGGACATCTTACTACTATGGCTGCTGATTCCTAAGTTCTATATAATGAGTGCCAGGGTCCAAGCCGCGGGGAGAGCAGGCACACAGAGGAGCGTGTCCTTCACCTTCCCTTGGCTCGAGGCCTCCGCTAACCTCCAGACATGGGTCACCCGACACTGAGGATCTTTGTGGCGTAGGGTATAGGGTATGCGGCACTAACGGCGTCAGAAGGCACTGAGAAAGGGAGAAGCATGGTGAACTGTTCCTCTGACCTCTCGCCTCACAATCTTATACTAATTTAATTGTCCTCCGCCGACTGTAACAGGTTTACAACAATGACAAAGACCCCTTAGATCACACCATTCCAAACCTTATTACTCATGTTATTATGATGACTTTGTGTAATTATGTCTCGTTTATTTTCAAAAGGTTCGCTAGAAACTGCTTAATCTGAATCACTATGTATTCGATATAATCATTGATATCCAAATACCTTATATCTTACGAATACTCAGATTTTATATCTTATCACGAAGCTTTTTAGTTCTTGTAAACATCATAACTCTTCTCGCATACCATAGTACATAAGGTATCCCTTGTTTCTTCTTCGCGATACCATCTTATGACCATACGTATTTCTGTGTTTTTTCATATTCGTCCATGCTATCCATTATGAAATGTCTCATAACGATTTTTTTCATAACAGTTTTTGTAGTCGACACAGACCTCTCGCCAAGACGTCCCACTCCTCCCAGGGCGCATCTACCACGCCTGACCCTCTCTGTACAAAGCAACCGAACTTCCGCAGTAATAAAGTATAGAATCTGCGTCAACTTTAACTTCAAGGCCAAACAACAACAACAACAACAAAGTACTTTACATGTGGGAACGTATACTCCCCACATAATCACATCGGAACCAGCAATATTACAAAAGGGGTGAAGGGAGACGTGAAGGGGTGAGAAAAGGATAAGAGATAATGAAGGGGAAAACCTGATGACGATTACATTACACACACACACACACACACACGCGCATATATATATGTCAGTGGTTCCCATACTTTTCATGATGTTCCATTTTGATATTCTAGAAAATCCTTGATATGATTATTTCAACAATAATCTTATGTTGTTTAGGATAGCACGCGCGCGTGCGTGTGTACATACATACATGTATAGATGCATACATACACATACAAACCTATATACATACATATAAATAGTCACATATACATGCATTTATACATGTATGCTTACATAAACATATATAGAAATATATTTATACTATATACAAACGTGCACACACAAACACACACACACACACACACACACACACACACACACACACACACACATATATATATATATATATATATATATATATATATATATATATATATATATATATATATAAATATAAGTAGTAATAGCATGGACAGAATGACACCTTACATACGTACCTGACGTGTCATAACAGGAAGTAAGCCTAATGACTTCCGAGAGTAATCACCATAATCGATGGCATAACCGGAAATCAATAACACCAAGTAATGAGGGAGAACACTTACACCTGTAGCGTGCCCCTTCCAAAACAAATACAATAATAATAATAATGGGATAGGACAAAGAAGAAAAAACAAACGAACATGCATCCAGCTGTTGACATGGGCCAAACTATCGATCCGAGAGCAGGTGTTGATGGTGATTCCCTCCCCCCTCCCGCATCTTCCCCATACCCTGATACAGATTGACCCTTACCTACGTACCTGATGTGTCATAACAGGAAGTAGGTATATGGAGGGTGCCCCCCCCCTCCTTTCATAAGTGATAACAATGGCTATATCTCATGTCTGAATATGTAAGAGGAAGCAGAAGAGGTAAACAGACAAACATAAACCCAGCTGCTGACATAGGTCAAGGTATTGACCTAATAACAGATGTTACCGATGATGCCTCCCCCCTTCTCTTCCTACCGCACTTCCCCACAATTCCGTGAAATGGATAGGCAACCATCTGCTAAGGCACCAAAGACCGGAGCAATCTGAATTCACTCCTGGCAAGTTCACAATATATCGTATCATAGCGCTTCGAGTCATTGTAGAACGTCGTCACGAGTTCGGCCGTGGGCTGCTCGCAGACTACATCGACTTCAAGAAGGCGTTTGATTCGGCACATAGCGAATCGTTATGGAAGATTCTGAGACAGGGGAATTCCAACTTGGATTATTGGATTAATAACAAGTCTATATACTGAAAGTGCTGTAAAGTGTGGTGGGAGCCTGTCGAGGTTTTTCTGTGTTAACTCAGGAGTGAGGCAAAGCTGTGTCCTTGCACCAACACTTTTCAACACTTGCATGGACTGGATAATGGGCAGAGCTACCTTCCAAAGTGAGAGTGGAACAACACTAGGTGTAGAATACTACGCAATTTTAAATATTTGTTTTCTTAAAAGGAAAGAAAATCTGATTTAGTTGGTAAGTATCCATGGATAGTCGTTCAAACCGCGCGCCACTACCCATACTCCTTTGCGTGCGATATCACTGCGTCAACTCTTGCAGCTACCCGTCAAAAGATAAACCAAGGCAACTGCTGTCTGTACTGGGTGGGCCAAATGCCTTTTTTTCCCATCCTTTGATTTTGAGTGACAACGACCGTGGAATGGATTTTATGAAGAAGTTGCTTTGCAGAACTTATTGGGATACAAAGTGAGTGTTAACAGTGTGTATATTTATTATTATACTTTGTTGTTCAGCGCCGCGGCCCCCCAACGGTAGTGTTTTGTGACATTTTCAGTGGCAGTTGTTCTATAGCCAACCCCTTTTATTTTCTGATGCTTTGCTTTAATTGGCAATGCTTTGTGAAGACCTAAGTTCTTTCAATAATAGGATAATGTTTGTCATATTCTGTTTTTCATATTTCGCAATGTGCTGATGCTCTTTTTATACAGATTTATTTGCATCTCTTGTATTTTGTTTTGTTTTATATTCAAATTAATGTTCATCTCTATTGTGGGTTATTGGTTTCTTATACGGGTTTGTTTTCAACTCGAATGCTTCTTGTGACTAGGCTGTAACGAAAATAAATGTGGAACTACACAAGTTATTCTGATACCCTTGAATTAGGGCTGTACCAACATACTGCATCTAACACTAAGCAATATCAAGGTCCTCGACTTTGCGGATGATGCAGTTCTGAGGCGAAGGCTCTGGGCTTCCAGATCTCCTGAATTAAGACCAAAATCCAGGATTTTGGGGGCCTGTTAGGAGAACCCGTTCAGTCGATATATGCTTGTGGCGAGGACGTTGAGGTCACAGAGAAGTTTACATACCTTGGTAGTGCAGTTCATGCCTCTGGGGTGTCAGACCAAGGTCAGTAGACGGATTGGTCTCGCAGCAGAAGCTATGAACTCAGCCAACAAGAGTATTTGGAGGTGCTGGTACCTATGCAGGACTAAGTAACGTGCCTTTAGTGCCTTGATACTGCCAGTTTTGCTTTATGGAAGCGAGACCTGGATGCTATCTAGTGCCTCGGAATAACGTCTCGATGCCTTTTGTAACAAGTCCATGTGCCAGATCATGGGGTACAGTTGGCAGGATCATGTGTCCAACCGACTTAACCATGAGACTGGCATGGGACCTGTTACTTGCATAATCCGTGACTGCCAACTCAGGCTATATGAGACAACCTGATGTCTGCATGGAGGAGGCCTATTGGAAGACCTGGGAACTTGTGTCTTGGGCAGCTCGACCAGACCTGTCATGAAGAACCAGAGATGGGCCGAGGGCCTGCCTGGCGACTCGTCATGAGGGACCATTGTGGCTGGAAGCGGAGGGTGAATGTGGCTATGCGGCCCCTGTCAGTGTCGGCTCCTTTGATGATGATGCTATATATGTTTATATATGACATATTCATATAAATGAATATATGTTTATATATATACATATATATTTATATATTTGTGTGTATATATATATATATATATATATATATATATATATATATATATATATATACACATACATATGCATACACACACACACACACACACACACACACACACACACACACACACACACACACACACCACACACACACACACACACACACACACACACACACACACACACACACACACATATATATATATATATATATATATATATATATATATATATATATACATACATATATATATATATATATATATATATATATATATATATATATATATATGTATATACACATATGTGTGTGTGTACGCGTGCGTATGCTTGTATGTATGTGTTGGTTCATTCATTTAGTAGCGTTCTACCAGCGTGACATTCATTGAAAATAACTTCAAATGAAAGAAGTATACCAAAGTTCCTCATTTACTTTCATTTCCCCCCCAACAATAAGCATACATATGAAATACTAATCCAAAACCTTATAGTTACTTAGCAAGTTGCGAGATCTATCACCATTATTTCGTTACCTTTGTACACTCTGGTTTCCGGTTTCTCCCTCTGTCAAGCGCTGTCATGGTCGGTCTGCCTGCTTGACAATCTCGGGCAGTCCAAGCTTCATGAAGTGGGAAGTCTAGTCTCCCGACTCCCGTTTTTTATTTATTTTATTATTATTATTATTATTACTATTATCTCAACCGAGATGCATAGTTGCGTAGCAGGATGCTTGCTTAATCTATGATGATGAAAATACAGTCATGGAAATAACGCCAAACTTCCCGACGAGTCGATGTGACTTGAATCCGAAAGTAGTAAACAGAGTGTGGAGAAAACTGTAATGGAAATTTTTGGCGTTGGAAAAAGACACGGAAAAAGTTATCTGTTCGTTGCATTTGCAGAAAAGTATAGCTTCTTGCAATCTAAATAGCGAGATTAAGGGCGAGATCGATCTCTTGAATTTCAGAAAGTAAATAAAAGTAAAACTTGTTGATAAGGTTGATATGCAAGCGATCATAGCATAGGTAGTAATTTAATACGAATTTATTTTAGGAACAAAAATAATGAGTGAGCATTAGAAAGGAAAAGATTGGTAACTAAATGCTGTCTAATATGTAGGGTTTTCAAATCCATTAGAAATAAATGACAGACATTAGGAAACAGATATTGCTAGGAAGGCCTTTTTGAATATTCTATTGACAATGCATATCACTTTGATTTTATAACGCATTTATTTAATATTATATTTCTAAATTGATGGAAAAAATATATGAAATGACGCGGACTGAACTGAATAAGGGTATAAAGGGGGCGTTTTCTTTCCTGGCAGCTCATTCTTAACGGGTAGATTTTAATTGGTACATAAATTACTAAAAAAGAAAGAAAGAAAAAACTTTTAAAATGAAGTCAAATTAAAGGAGTATCAAAACTGATATCAGTATTTCCGTTAATTTATCTCACTCTTGTTACAGATCTTATGTGGCTAGATTTGTACGCTATAATCATAAAGGGAGTTTGGTATTAACTAAAGAGGCCACTCGGCTTCTGTTCTGAGAAAAGTTAAGCTCATGAGGGCTCATTTTCTTTCCACATTTCACTCTGATGTTTACACGTCCATGATAAGATCGTTCTGAAGGACGATTTGGCTTCTAGTTCAACACAAGCCAAACTGGCAGCGGTTGCCTGCCTTTCCCAAACAGCCATGGAGTGCTTGCCTCTTTCTCCACACATTTATAACAGTAAATTAGAAAATTCGACAAAAAAATCATGCACTATTGAACTTGGGCCGCTATCTCAGGAAGAGCAGCTGCG